ATCTTGCATAGAATTGGATCATGCCTTGATCGCATAAGGTTGCAGGTGTAAGAATGCAAGCAAGCAAGTGCTCAGTCCCGGCACATACCCAGATCCATCCATCGGAATATTCGCAGTCGTTCCGTTGGTCACCCTGCAGGACAAGCCGCCTTGATGTGGCTTCAGTACAGCCTGACACCGGTTTGGCCCCCTTGTTCGGTCTGTTGAGCAGACCGCTGGACCGGGTTTTCGGGCTCAGGAGCTTGCGGGTCTTCCACAGGCCCAACACGGGGTTCTCGCAAACACAGCGCCCGAAAGGATAACGTTAGAACCGGACCCTGAAGATCCTCACTGGTTGATGAGGGGAGGGTGCGCGCTGAGATGTTGGGGAACGGACGAGGATCCTAGTACTTTCCGGCCGGTTGTGGCCGAGGGCAAGCTGCCCGGCATCAGTTTGGGGTTACCCGTGTTTGGCCTGCCGAGGATTTCCTTTGTTTTTCCTGCAGGGTGTGTTGTTTTTCTCCTGTTGGTGCAAGCCCAGCCAGGAGAATGCCTAGCGGCAGGCGTTGTTTGTTAGGGACCATAACTTAGGCTGACGGACAGCCAGTGGCACCAGATTGCGGAGGTTAAAGGCTGTGGCTCGGAGCCCGAAAGCCGTCCCAACTGTGATGCCCAAATCAACCAAGCCCTCCCTGCGTGCAAGTGGTGTGGGTTCATCTGGAGCCGCTGGGGTCGAACCAGTGAGTAAGAGCGAGAAAGCTGGTTCCTCCTACCTGGTGAGTAAGTGCGAGAAAACCAGGTCAGCATACGGGGCAAACAGGAGCTCAGAGCTGCTGCGGCATGGGTTTCTGGGGCCTAAGTGAGTAAGAGCGAGAAAGCTTAGGCCTGCCCCGGAGGTTGGCGACTTTGCCAATCCACTTGTCTGCAGTTCGTACAGGCATTGCCCGCGTGTCGGTTCCAGACCTTCTGCCTTTTCTGAGAGAGCCGAATGGGTGAGTTTCTCCCCTGTACAGGCAGGGCTTATAGGGTAGGCAGTACAGACCAGGCAGTTCAACCTGCAGAACTGGCCTAGGGCTTGTACAGTGCCAAACCAGTGAGTAGCCGTAGGCCGCCGAGCTTCTCGCGGAACTGGTTAAGCCCTCATTGCTTTCTCTCGGTGTTCCCTGCACATAGTTCGGCCGTGTTAAGCAGGCCAAGGACACCTCGAGAGTTTTTCCTTTTCTGTGCATAGTTAATACCTTCCGGAACTTCGGTTCCGAAGAGCCTAACCTGGCTAGCGACGCAGCCCGCTTTCGAGTGATATATGTGACCTGGCTCAAGATCTCGGCTCAACCCCGGTGGGGTGCACAGGTAGCAGAGCGGTAGCTGTGTGAACCAGCCTCGAGTCCCCTAACTGTTTTGGGTACCAGGCCTGCTTTTTCACAGCCTTCATTTGAGCCATGTCCAGAGCACCTGTGCAGTCGAGATCCTCACTGCCAGCAAGTGATGGGTTGGAGTCATCTCACCCAACTTGCTCTGCAGAGAGCCAGAAAGAAGGCACGGCCCGACTGGAGGGCGAAGCAGCCCGGCTTGGGGAACTCTTCCCTTATGCGAGTCCTCTTACAGCCGGCTGTGGAGTTTCTCCAGCCTTGGAAGACCAGGCAAGATGCTCGAGCAGCCTGGCAAATCCAGAGCGAACTTGGGCCCATAGAGCCAATTGTGGTCCCAGCCAAAGCAGGACTTTCCACCAAGCACTCTGCTTTCGCTGGCATCACAAGGGCCGGAAAGAGTGGCTGTTCCTCTCCGAGGACAGCAGCGTGTATTTTGTTCGCGCCAGCAAATCCGGCAAAACAGTCCGAGCCGGACCCTGTGGGCAATGGAGATGCATGGAAGACCCAGCAGAGCTCCACGGGGGAACGGGAGGCGACCCGCCCGTGCAGTGGCTTCGCCTTTTGAACTTTAATTGCACTGGCTGTGGTAACATTCCAACCCATAACCTCAACTTCTTGCCCGGTCCTGGGAAAAGGCAACCAGCGATCTTGCATGGAGAGGATGGAAGACGCATCGAGCTCTACTGTGCCCTTTGTCTAGAAAGCTTCCTAGCGTGCACGTGGAGCTGGCCGAGTTTCGACCAAGCAGTTAGGAGACCGGTGTTTCTGGACTACGCTTCCCTTGCTGACTTGCGTCAGTTAGGTCACCAAGGTACGGAGCCCGTAGAACCTTTGCTGGCGCCGCTGTCTTCTGCAGCCAGCGCACATGGCTGGACCTTCCTTGAGGAAGGGTGTTCTCAGGATCTAGACTCCCCAGAAGAAGCAGGCAACAGTGATTGGCTAGTGTGTGGCTTTGAAGACTTGGAAGACGTCCCCTGGGAGGTCTGACCTAATCCGGCCCCAACCCACCCAAATTGCAGGAGCTATGCCCTGCCAGAATCAAGGGTGAGATGCTCACCCTCCGGAATCCCTTTGTCACGGGTGTAGCTTCTCCCCGTCCAATCAGCGACGGTCCTGTGAGTCCGTTCCCAAACTGAGAGTGCCATAGGGCACCACGGAGAATCTTGCATAGAATTGGATCATTTAATGATCGCATAAGGATGCAGGTTGTAAGAATGCAAGCAGAAGTGCTCAGTCCCGGCACGTACCCAGATCCATCCGTCGGAATATTTTCGCAGTTGTTCCGATGGACACCCTGCAGGACAGGCCGCCTCGATGCGGCTTTTGTTCAGCCTGACACCGGTTCGGCCCCTTTGCTCGGTCTGTGCAGCAGACCGCTGGACCGGGTTTTCGGGCTCAGGTACTTGTGGGTCTTCCACAGGCCCAACACGGGGTTCTCGCAAACACAGCGCACGAAAGGATAACGTTAGAACCGGACCCTGAAGATCCTCACTGGTTGATGAGGGGAGGGAGGGCGCTGAGGTGTGGCAGGAACGGACGAGGATCCTAGTACGCCGACCGTATGAGGTTTAGGGCATTTCCCTGCATCAGTTTGGGGTTACCCGTGTTTGGCCTGTTGAGGATTTCCTTTGCGATTCCTGCAGGGTGCTGTTGTTTCTCTCCGGGTGGTGCAAGCCCATCTTGGAGGAAGCCTAGCGGCAGGCGTTGTTGTTAGGGACCAATGCTTGGCTGACGGACAGCCAGAGGCATCAGATTGTGGAGGTTAAAGGCTGTGGCTCGGTGCCTGAAAGCCTGCCCAACTGAGCTGCCCAAATCAACCAAGCCCTCCCTGCGTGCAAGTGGTATGGGCTCCTTGGAGCCGCTGAGGTTGAACCAGTTAGTAAGAGCGAGAAAGCTGGTTCCCCTCCCTGGTGAGTAAGTGCGAGAAAGCCAGGTCAGCAAACGGGGCTAACAGGAGCTCAGTGCTGCTGCGGCATGAGTTCCTGGGGCCTAGGTTAGTAAGGGCGAGAAAGCCTAGGCCTGTGCCGGAGGTTGGCGACTTTGCCAGCCACTTGCGTTCAGTTTAGTACAGGCATTGCCCATGTATCGGTTCCAGACCTTCTGCCTTTTCTAAGTGAGCCGGAAGTGGGTGAGTTTCTCCCCTGTACTGGCAGGGCTGATAGGGTAGGCAGTACAGACCAGGCAGTTCAACCTGCAGAACATTTTGCCTAGGGCTTTGTACAGTGCCAAACCAGTGAGTAGCCGTAGGCCGCCGAGCTTCTCGCGGAACTGGTCAGGCCCTTTTTCTTCTCTCGGTGCTCCCTGCACATAGTACGGCCGTGTCAAGCAGGCCAAGGACACCTCGAGAGTCCCTTTTCCGTGCATAGTTAATACCTACCGGAACTCCGGTTCCGAAGAGCCTAATCTGGCTAGCGACTCAGCCCGCTTTCGAGTGATATATGTGACCCTCCTAGTTTCCCAGTTGACACGTGATGTGCACTTGAGTTGTCTGCTATGAGTGTGAAGCATAGGCACGAGGACATGTCAGGCAGTGCAGATTTCTTTTGGCTTGGTGAGACCTTGTTTTGAGTGGGAAGAACCGTTTTCTGTTCGTTTTCTCGAAACTCGTTTGTCGGAACTCGTTTCCTGTTTGTGACCTGGTATTTGGTGACCAGAAGTGACTCAAGCCAGTTTAGGTCTGCACAGAGCTAAGCAGAGCACCTAAGAGGTGCTAGGAACCTACCCACAGTGTTTAGGAGTAGAAGTTCCATGGCTGAGTGTTTTCACCTGAAGTACCTTTGTTTTCCCATGTCTGGCAGACAGTGTTTGAAGCTGGAGAGCCGTGCTCGCATTGGCTCAAGACGAGCGGAGCTCGAGAAGCTGTGAACAGCGCAGTGAAAAGAGTCCGCACTTCGTGCTGTGAGGGTTGAGTGTAGTCTTGACCTGAGGTCCCTTAGGCCCCGTAGCTGTGCCACGAGTTTCAACGTCCGCCCTATGGCCATGAGGTCGAGCCTTAAAACTTTCGGCGCAAACACAAGGAGCCTCCGAATAGGGTACTTCCTAATAGCTATGTGAGGACACCCGAACTCACACAGCGCCGACGGCAGCCTCGTGTAGCCACACCAGCCTCTTGCCAGCTCCCGCTCGCCGGGGGGGAGGGGGCGCCTCTTCTGGCGCTCTGTGTGCATTGTGCCTGTTTTCAGTGTGCTTGCAACTTCCTTGTCAATCCGAAAAAGAGTCCTGAGTGTTCCTTGCCTTACAGCCTACCCATACTTTCGCTTTATGTCTGTACCAGACGTGGCGCAGCATTGCTATGGGTGACGGGCAGCTGAGTGATTGGTGCCGGTAGGTTCTTGTTTGCATTGGTCTCACCTCGCTGCCTTGCGATAAGTTGTCTTGCAATAAGGGCCTCTGCGCTAGCGGTTGCTTCTTTGTTTGTAGTCACGACTTCTTTTTCGCTCGCTGGTTTGCACAGTTTGGCTCTCAAAGGTGGTTTGAGCGCGCCGACTTCGTTTCACCTGTTATGTCGAGCCCAACAAGACGGCCTACTGCGCTACTGATGTAGTAAAGAGGCGTCAGTCCAAAAAAAAAAGAATTTCAGTTTTTTTCTTGTTTCTGAAGATGGCACGAACTGCTGCAATGGCAGCAAGATGGTCCGGCGGGCGTGTGACAATGGGAACAGCAGGACGCGACAGAAGAGTTCGAAACAACCCCTGTCCAAAGCCTGCTGTTAAAGCCAAGGCGAAAAGTGAGCCTCGAGTTTCCAAAAAGCGCCAGCCAGGAGGCAGAGATGAAGGTGAAGTTGATCAGAGTGTTGGTGCTTCTTCAACAGATGATTTGACTCTTCATTTTCAGAACAAGGCGGAGAAAGAACGTGTTCAAGGTTGCAAACGACCTTATACGCAGCCACGTGATCGCAGTCCTGGTCAAAAGCGTGGTCGGACAGCAACTTTGACGCGGTCTCCATTGTCTTCACGCTTTTCATTGGATGGTATTCTGACCAGCGCTCCAGTTGAGCTCACAGAGATCGGTTTGGAGACAGGAATCCTCACAAATGAAAGACAAGAGACAGTTTGCTCTTGTGGAAAACAGAAGTGGAAGATCGAGGCCAGGAACAACCATTGCCAGTATCGTTGCAGCTGTCGCAAGACAGAAAGTGTGGTGGCGCGTGATCGTGATATCTTCTCCCAGAAGCTCCCTCTTCGCTCCCTTTTTGGTGCTTTGTGGCTTTGGTGTTCCCCACTGAATGTTTCGCCAGATAAGGGAGGCTTGGTTCTTGGAGTGGACAACCGAGTCATGCGGGGCTTGTTTGACCAATTCCGATCATGGCTTTCACCATTGGTGGACCAGCTCAACGACGAGTTGCTGATCGGAGGGCAAGGCCAGGATGTAGAAATGGATGAGATCTGTTTCCGATCCAAAACGTTGGACAACTGTGTGCTCTGGGTGCGCTACTTCGCCATGGTACGCAGAGGAAGTTCCAAAGTTTTCCTTGCACGACTCCCGTGTCGCATCACTAAAGCTGGCCAAGGTGGTGGTGGTCCCATCAGTGTGCAGGACTGTACTTTGAAGAGTTTAGGGATGCGTTAGCAAGGATTTTTCTTTTGGGAGCATTCAATGTGAGGTACACATCAAACCTACTTTATCGTATGCCCTGCAGGAGCTGGCATCGGTCTTGCGTCGTGATGATGGTTCTTTTCGACTTGGCGCTGGTAGTGTTTGCCACACGGATTCGGCCCGTGCGTACAAGCAGCTGGGCGTCGAGGATGGCCCCCTTTTCGATGGCTCCTTCTGCAACGCGAAGGAGCTCAAGGGTCTGAAGCTTGCCCACACCAATGTCAAGCACAAACCTCCAAAACCGGAGTTTACCAAGCCGTTTGACGTGCCTGTGTGGCAGGGTATTGATGACGATTGGGAGGTCGAGACGCGCATCGGCGGCACGCAGAAGCTGGATGGCTTTTTTGCCAGCTTCCGCCGAGACGTGGGGCGGCAGCCCTTCAACACTACTGGACCCACTCCAAAGCAAGCTGATGCTTTGGAGGAGGGCCTCCATCATCGCGTTCGTGCCTTTCAGTGTAAGTTTTGGATGTCCGGCAGCGACATGTTTCAAGTCGTCGGCTCACTTCGAAAGAAGGAGCGTGACGACCCTGGGCGTGCTTCTTGGTCAACGCTAGCCGAATATTTGAAAGTCGCAGAGCAGTGCGAGCAGCCCAAAAAGCGGCTTGCTCCTGATGCTGGGGTGGGATTGTTGGCGGACAGTGATAGGGAACTGGATGCCGGCGAATCCCAGTGCAGTTTGTTGTTCGACGATGACGAGTGAAGCGCCCGGGTATCTCGCAGAAATGATGTCTCGATGTGTGCTTGCGAGTTTAAAGCTTGGAGGCTTCGGGGTTCAGTTTCGGGGTTCGGTGTTGACGTGGGGTATTTGGCGAGGTGGGTTTCTGCAACCAATGAAGCTGTAGGGTGCTGCTATACTTGCTTCTGGAGACCTCACGCGGATCCCTTTATTTGCGCGGCGCCTCAAGCGGTAGCACTTCTCCGGGCGCTGCGCCTATATTGCCGCGGCGTCTCAAGCGGCGACCGTTTTCGTTGGTTTCTGGCCGAGCTATGCGCCTCAGGGGGCGCCGCCTGCGGCGGCGCCCCGAAGGGGCGCTACTTCTCAAGCGGTTACCGCGCCGCTCCACGCGCCGCGCCCGGCGAACGAAACCAACGAAAGCATCGATCTGCGGTGCGTTAAGTTTTCTGGACGTGTATGCACTTGACCTGCGTGGCATTCATGTGTTAAGTTAAATGCTATGCACTTGTAGTCAACTCTGTACACTTCATTGGCATTTAATAGATCTGAAGTTAACGACTGAACTGTATGAACTTTACTTGCACGCATCCGACTTGGCTGTGCACGTTCTGTTAACGCAATGCTACAAAAGAAAAAACAAAAAAATAACGCAAGAGCTGTCAGCCATGAGCATCATCGGCAGTCGCTCTAAAGTCCAACGTGTTTTTTTTCAAACTCTGCGCCCTTCTTTTCCCTCTTCTATCTTTAGCCTTAGAATCTAAAACACCATACCAGGGAGCAGCAAATCCGACGTGCGAAATCACTTTAGTCAGATTTCACTGTGCTTCTCCTCTTTGAAGCTCCAAGGTCTTCTTGCCAACCTTCTCTTCTGTTCTTCTTTGAAAGCGCTCTGGAGTGAGCTTTTTTGAAAGAGTTAGACAACGTTTTTTGGTATTTCAACGGGTTTTATTTGGGTCTCTCTTGGGCTCAACCGAAACATGATTTTGCTTGGAGGTTTCTTTTTGGTTATCCGATGGTTTTTACTTCTCGTTTTCTTTTCTTCTGGAGCCTGCTACTCAAGCTTCGTCTTTCACCTGGAACGGTCCGACACCACTGCTCTTTTTCGGCTGCCGGTCATTGACGATGAGCATTGGAAAGTGTGAAAAAGTTGATGCCCACAGTAGCTATCAGCACCTTTCCAAACGTTACCAAAGTGTTTGAAGAGTTTCGGGAGCGAATGCTTGTTGTTTGGTTTGCAGTGCAGCAGCAGAGCTTTCCTTTAGTTTGTTTTGTATGCATGGCCAGAATTTTTTGCTTTTGTAAGGAGATGCTTGTTTTTAGCAAGCATGAGTCAGAAGCTTCACGTCGCACGTAGAAAATTTGTAAGTGCTTGACGTTGTTGAATAGGCTCGAGAAGTAGTTTGGACGGGTTGTCTTGCGCAGCCAACGTTTCACTCAACAACCAGCTTGAACAGCAGCTGAAGCAAAGAAGAGAGTGTGGTGCCACTCTTTGCTCAGAAAAGCCTGAAGAGAGTGTGGAGCTGCTACTCTTTGCTCAGAGAAGCCTGAAGAGAGTGTGGAGCTGCTACTCTTTGCTCAGAGAAGCCTGAAGACTTTGCTCAGAGAAGCCTGAAGAGAGTGTGGAGCTGCTACTCTTTGCTCAAAGAAGCCTGAAGAGAGTGTGGAGCTGCTACTCTTTGCTCAGAGAAGCCGGAAGAGAGGAGCTGCTACTCTTTGCTCGCAGAGAAGCTTGAAGGGAGTGTAGAGCTGCTACTCTTTGCTCAGAGAAGCCTGAAGGAGTGTGGAACTGCTACTCTTTGCTCAAAGAAGCTTGAAGAGACGTGAGGAAGTTTGGAGCTCTGTGGAGCTTGTGAGAAGTTCGAGAACCCTTTCAGTCCAGGAGCAGTAAGCCCTTTGCAACCCCTTGCCGCAAGCAGCAGCGGACCCCAAGTGTACCAAGTGCACACTCCTCCGAATGAAACAGCTTCAAGTGGAGCTCAGGTTCCTTTTTCTGGACACCAAGAGCTTGGGCCCATCATGGCGATGATGGCGCAAACTTTGCAAGCAGTGCAAACTCAAACGCAAGCAGTAACCCAGTTGGTGAGTGTTCTTGCAAACCAGCAGCAGCAACAGCAGCAGCACCAACAGCAGCCGCAAGTGCCGCAGTTTGCAGCACCGTCTTCAGTTTCTGCACCTTTGGGAGCAGGAGAGAGGGTGGAAGGCGCTGGGAAGTTGGACATGAAGTGGTTACCTCCCATGCCTTTGCCTGGTTGGAAGGCTTGGAAGGACAGAATCACAGAGATTCATGAGTACAGCGTTTGGTTGGAAGCGTTCACCAATTGGGTGAGCGTGCTGCACAATGCTTTTGGGCCAGAGATACAAGAAGCCGTGTCTCGAGGGCCGATGGAAAGGCCTTTGACGCATGACCTGATGAACGCTGAACAGATCCAAAGGAGCCAAAGAATCTTGCACTTGTTGAGACAAGCATTTGCAGGATTTGGCAGAGTGGAAAGTGTTGCTTGCTTGCTTGACTCTGTCGGAGGAACGCAGAGGGCAAGCGGGTATGAGCTTCTGAGAAGGATCACCAGCGAGTTTTCCTTGCAAAGTAGGAACGAGGCTTTGCACTACCGAAACCAGCTGTTGTCGTACCAAGTTCCTCACGGGACGAATCTTTTGGAGACTGTTCGTTTGGTAGAAGTAGCCGTGAACAAGTACCACCGGATGCTTGAAGGTGGAGTCGGGCTGAGGATGCCTGATTTGAGAGTTCAAGAAGCCGACGTGTACTTGATCTATCTCAGGAATGTGCCGGCAGAAGTGAAAAAGTACGTGCAGCTGCATGCGCGGAATGAGACAGTGAAAGGTGTCAAAGAGGCCATCGAGACCTACTACATCCGCACCCGCGTGATCGGCGATACCTCTTTCAAGCCAGATGGACTGCACAGTCTTGGCGGAAAAGATGGCAAAGGAGGTGGAAAAGGGTCGCCCAAGTGCTGGAACTGTGGCCGCAGTGGCCATGTGTCGAAAGACTGCTGGGATGCACAGCCTGAAGGGAAAGGAGGCAAAGAAAAACAAGGCAAAGGTGGGAAGAGCCAAGCGAAGGCCGAGAAGGCTGCTGCAGGAGGAGGAGGTGGTGCCTCTACGCCGCGGTCAGCAAACAAGTCCGGCACCAAATGCTGGAATTGTGGTGAAAAAGGCCACGTGGCAGTGGACTGCAAGAAGCCGAAGCAGGAGGGCAAGGGCAAAGGAAAGCAGAAGAAGGGCAAGCAACGCAGCCTTACTGAAGAAGAAGGGCAAAGTGAGGCTGAGCCTGAGGGTGAAACCATCATGGCCTTGAACAGTAGTGAGATTTCTGTTGTTGCTGACAGGACAGGGGCGAGAATCGCCGGGGTTTGTAGTGTGAAGGGTCAGACGGAAGCGTGGCTAGTGGACTCAGGGGCCACTTCCCATGTGATGACCCGGGAAGCTCTGCGGAGATACGAAGTTGTTCGAGTCCATCATTCTGTTCCGAAGCTCTGGTCGGCTGCCGAAGAGCGGATACCGACGTACGGTCTAGTGGACCTTAGGGTCCAGTTTGGCAAGTCGCGTTTTGTAGTGACCGATGTTATCGTTGCGGAAGTTTCATTTTGCGTTTTGAGCTCTTTTGCTTTGGCTCAGCACGATTGGGTGACGCATTTGAGTCGGAAAGCAGCGGCCCTGACGAAGGCGCCAACTAAAGGCCAGGTACGTCAGAAGGTCTCCTTGAAGATGGAGGCCCGTGCGTGGTGGGCTGTTGCTCAGTTGAAGGATTCGGTGCCCGAGCACCCTGACTTGCCGGCTCTGTTAAGTGAGAGTGCAAGGGTCAGATCTGATGGAATGGAGATTGATGGGGGAATTCGGGAGCTTGTGAAACTGAAACCGGCCGCTGGCGCCCAGGACAAGGGTTGGAGTCTTGCTCATGAAGTGTCGCCTGGAGATCATGCTCATGAAGGTGTTCGTGATGTTCGGTCTGAAGATGATGCTCATGGTGCAACTGAAAAGAAAGCAAAGAAAGAGAGGAGTGCGGTGAAGTCTATTTTGCGACGCAGCAGTACGTGTTTAGACCAGTCCATGCCTTTTCAGTACATGATGCGCGTGATGCCGTCGGAGCCGCTGCGTGTGCATGATGTTGAAGGCCTGGACATGCCAGGATTCTCCTGATGATGCTCCTGATGTTCTTCTGGGACAATGCCCGCAAGCGTCCGGAGCCTCAACATCTGCAGATGCTCTGTCAGACCTGTCTGCTGAAGTAGGGGCTGTCGCTGTGCGTGAGTCCTGCTTGCTGTCATGCAAGAGACAGGGTACTGCCATGTCGGAAAGGGGTGCGCCTAATCCAACTTTCTTTGATCGCCTGGCGCCGGAGATGTGCCGGGAGCCTGTTGACCTCAGAACAGGGTTCTCTTCAGGTTGCGGAGGTAGGAGTGAGTGCGCGAGTGATCTGCAAGGGGCAGGGCTGGGGTGTGGGGCTGAGAAGGCGGGAAGGTCGGTTTCGGGTAGTTTGTGTGCAGTGAGAGGGATTTTGCCAGCGAATGCTGTAGAACATGAACTGCGAGGATTGCCCCGCGTGGTGATCGATGAAGAGCCCCAAATCCCACCAACGCCCGGAATTCCCTCAAGTCCCTCAACTTCGGTGGAAGGGGAAGGAAGAAATCGAGAAGATTTGCCTCCTCAAGATTTGTTTGAAGATGATGTGGATCTAGACGGGGCGGCTTTGGATGCACACAGGGCCCGGGGTCATTTTCCTTTCATGCGGGAATGTGTGGAGTGCAGAGAGTGCAAAGGGATGATTCCTGCGAGATCCAGACGCGTCAAAGCTGCCGAAGAACATCTGGGGATAGGTGCAGATTTCGTTTTCTTCGGACGTTATGTGCGTATTGCTTTGTTTCTCGCCCTAGGAACAGGCATGATTTGTGCCTTTAGGGTGGAAGCCTCAGAGGCCTACAATGTCACGCAAACAGTACAGGCCTTCAAAGAGTTGGGAGGCACTGGTAGGTACGTTGAGTTCCTCAGTGACTGTGATGACTACCTAG